TGTTTTTTGGTTTGTTTTTCAAGTGAAAAACTGGCGTTTGCTCAAGTTACGTGAATGAAATGTTCTTCTATATGACAATGCATCAACACATACTATTAAACTATGAAGCTCAAAGGTGTGTTCGTCTTTATAATTAACAAGTTACAGACGTATTTCTTTCTTACGAGTGTAACATTTATTTTCTGTAGCTGGGCCCGTTTTGTGCTCCTTAATGTCAGTCTGCTATGACGTAATCATCATGTGCGTATGGTTCTAAATATCCTCTTTACAATGCCTACAAAGGCCGAAGTGACGTCAGCCGAACCCAACTCACGCATTGGACACGAAAAATGCGTCGCTCGGATGTATGCGCTCGTCACCAATCAATTCGTTCATGGATATTTGAATTCGCGTTCCTGGCGAATGAGTGCCCTGACGGAACTTATCATTACTTGCGAATGCCAAGTTCTACGGTGTGCTTAAAAACCACGGTGAAAGCTTGGGGTCATCGCACCGGTGTCTTAGCATGTCACGACTTCGTGATTTCACAGTTCTCTCCTGAGTTGAGGATTACAGGTAAGGAAGAAGAAGTTTAAAAATAATTTCGTGGCCCCTTTAACACGGATATGTGTGCTACACCAGATAAAAATATTGACTTTTTGAATGCCGGTAAACTTCCGAAGACCATTTGGCCTGTCGGCAAGAACACCTCATATCCGGCGTCCGTCTCTTTTGATGGCGTCAACAGTTCTCTAGAGACCACCATGCCGTCCTTCTTGGTTGAACCCCGTCGACGTCGCTCCTCACCGGTCGCTGAGAAAATCTCATCTTGAAGGGATGATCGGGTCTTGAAGAAGTATGATGCTAAACATATCTACTCGCTCACTATGGGGCAGTCGAGCAGCAGTCATGTTCCGAGCAAATCGCCCTGTCGTGGCCGGCGCAATCGGATTTTGTTCCATCGAAGCGAAGTCCGAAAGCACTAGGACGGTGCGTTCGTCCCACGAAGCGGCCGCCATCCCGGCGGCGCCGAAAACCGCTCGCCTTGTCCGTCCACCTACGATGCCATAGCAGCTCTCGCCGCCCGACAGTCTCCGGGCTGCAAATCGTCTCACTTTTCAGGAAAAACAGGCACCGTTCCTCCAGAGGTTCTTGCTTTACCGCGATGCCATGCGTCTTATACCACTTTTCAATGAACGAATGGAGATATCAACTAGACTACAAAGGTTGCCACCCGGCGTCGCTAGAAGCACGGTTACCTTGGCAACCTCCCAGGCCCAAAATGGAGATCACTATCAGCGCTTCTGACGTCGTGCATCTAGATAATTTTGCGTCGTGTCGCTACTCTGGCAGCTACGCTGCCATATAGAGTGGCTCTAGCCGCAACCAATGATGCCTGCGCGAGTATCGTCTTCACGCCCTGCGATTTTCGTTTTCTGCTGCCCTTTGATTGGTGTTGCGTTCCGAGGCGCCAAAGACGCATTTTGGAACACTATAGCTCTCCGACTTGTCACCAGCAAGCTAAAAAACCTAGGGCGTGGCGAGCATCTCGTTATACCTCAGCAGCCAACCAGATTTTGCCGATAAGAAAAGAGGAGAACAAATGCTGAAACTAAATCAAGGAGCGTGAACATAATAATAGGTTTCGCTTTCTTAAATCCCCAAAGAAGGTTAAGTCGTGAAAATGGGAAAGGTTAATAGGGCTGACAAAAAACTGACTTCTTGGCCAGTGGTGTTTCCTCCAAAACGTAAACGAAAGCTCGTTTCTCGTTCGTTCTCAATCTTGGAACGAGTTCCCGTTATAAACTCCAGTGGTTCAAAAGAAACGCGTTCCCGTTACATTTCTAAGATTAAGGAGCTTTCGTAGACCGCGTTTTCACCTCCTCTAATCCCTCTGCCACAAAAAAGCCGCTACTGCGCCTGCGCGCCGATGGCCTTGAGTGTAGAGTTTCGGGTATAGCGGGTTGCGAAGAGCGTTGCGGGACGGTGAAGACGATCTACGAAAGCTACCTATTAGGAACTTTAACAAACCGTTACCGCGTTCCGCGTACCGCACTACCGAAGCCTTTGGACTCCGCGGTCACGGTGTCACGCGGGTGCACGCTTATAAGCATGCTTCAAAGGCTCCGGTAGTGCGGTACGCAGAACGCGGTAACGGTTTGCTCAAAGTCCCTATTATAAAAGACATAGCACACGACAGCACAAAGTGTTGGGTTTGACACTGTCGCATTGTTGAAAGATGTGCTTTAGGAGGTTGGCTTTTGTGTAGGCGCGTCGGAGAGCCTTCCAGAACCGCGAAGCGTTGGCGGCTGCGGTTTCTGGGCTGCTGTTGTGGGGGCGGCAGCGAAGGGATGAGGGGTTGACAGAGGAGAAGACGATAGCACGTCTTGCTATATATGACGCGGTTGTGCGAGGAGCGATGGCCAACGTTATTAGATCAGCTAAGTTACGGAACTGCTGATAGACGCTGCATGGACCAGCAGTACCCCCCTCACTCACCACGACTCGCATCCCGTCGTTTGACGCGCCGGATGGTTGCTATGGTAACTGCAGTGTATTCTATGGGATACGTACGTTTCGAAGCGCAACGTCTAGGTGGCGTTCAGTTGTACTCTATGGAACGCACAGTTCGTAAACGAAAACGTAGATGGCGCTTTGAACGACGGGAGGGGGACTTAAGTGAGTAAAAGGGGGTACCCCCTTCCGCGAGAGTTTCACAACTGAAGTATTGTCGTAACGTTGGCGATGGCGATGAAAAGAGAGCGACAGCGCGGCTCGCTCCCGCGACTAAGTTTTTGTTTTTTTTGTTTTTGTTTTGCGTATGAACGTTGTGAGATTTCGGTAGAGAGTGGCACTAACAGCTGCTGCTGCAAAAGCTTATTTAATTTTCTAAGAAATATTTATTAGCATCGAATTGATGGTTTGATTGGTCAAAGGGGCTTTGCATGTGCCGGCAGCATTACTCGTGTGACTTCACTCCGCGACAACTTTTCTTGGCAATGCAGTGGAAGGTAGAGGCCCGCGTCCCCTCTCCCATTTTGAGTGTACGCAGGCTCTCTTTCTCTCCCCCTTTCCAAGGAGAGGAGGAGAGCCCGCGCACACTCAAAATGGGAGAGGGGACGCGGGACGTACCTTCCACTGCATTGCCAAGAAAAGTTATCGCGGAGTATAGTCCTGTACGCCCCCACACGTCTACTCAGGACTTTCGCATACCTTACATTTTTATTGTGCGAATATATATTTAAAGTACTGATTTATTGAGTATGTCAAGTTAATCTCGATCCCATGGTGACCAGGATGCTACGCCATGGCGCAGCCTCCTTTAGCTCGGTGGTTTTATTTGATGCGCAGTCGGTAACGGCATGGACTGGCTCCCGGGAGCAGGCGATCACGTGGGCGCCGTGTGAGGTTCTGCGGATCGGCGCAGCCGCAGTGGGGGTGAGGAGATTCGTCCACTCTTCAAACCCTGGAAAGAGGACAGAAAGCAAAGGTAAAGGCAAGTACTTTTGGCAAGGGGTTGCCCACGACCCAGTCCCTGCAATATGTTCAGAAGATGCCATCGTTGGCTTTATGAATGTAAAAATGTTGGTGATGGTTTCACCGTTTCTGTGCAAAGCGTGTAACCGTGACATATATGTTCGAGCGAAGTTGTTTTTTCTCTCTCACTTTTGTCTCTTTCTTAGAATAAAAAATCGTATTATATTGTCTTCAAGTTATAATATTTCTCAGTACATACCTTAAGTCGAGGTCACACCGCTTCTACACCACAGAAAAGACAGACTGCATACGGATTCGAATGCGAGTCGCCGCGAGATCCGTGCTTTGAATGCCGCGTGGCAATGTGTTCAAGGAAGAACTTGACACGCGGCATTCGAACCACGGATAGAGCGCAGACTTGTACTCGCAAACTGCCTTTTGTATGATGTAGGAGCAGTGCAACCCCTGCTTTATTGTATCGTAAATATCACAACGCTTTATTGCGTCTCATAGTACTTTTGCGATACCTTGAAGTACGTTGCGAGGTATATTTACGCGGCGTTTGTTGCTTGTAGCAGTTGTGCATTCTAGAACAAAATCATAAGGGTTATCCTTACATGCAAACGAGTAGCTGGCACCGCGAAAGCGGCAGTCAATGTCTTCTTTTTGATAAGAAAGGTCGAGAACTTCCGTAGCCGCTGCCCCTCGACGCTGAAACAAGCCCAGAGCATAACGTGGAATATCTTGGCCTCTGCTTCGTTTCAAGAGTTTTGAGAAGCGTTAGTAGAGTAATAAGCACGAGTACACGGCCTCGGGCAAGTAGTTTTCTCGCGTAGGTTCACGCCCATGCGCTTTTGGTATAGTGTCTCACCTTAAGGTGAACAAAGCCCCAAGCGCGAGCTTTTCTGATTGAACTGTGCATCGAACTGCGCATCGAGCTGTGATTGAACTGTGCTTTTTAGATAAGGCATATATATCCTGCTCGAGGCTATTCCTTGCGCCGAGGAATGCACAGAGCTCTCCACACAGTCAGCACGATCGGGTAATTCCCGGATTGTTCTTTTTGCTTCTTTTTTTTTTTTTTTTCACAACTAACACAGTGTCATCGAAAATACTAGGACTGGGCTTACAGAGGACTCATTCAGCCGGTAAATGATCGTGCTGTGTGATAAAGATAAGAATTAGGCGTCGATCGTTTTCCTGAGGAAATCTAATTTGTTATATAACTGTCTAGCCGTCTCGCAACGTCTTTAACCCAGCGAGGACCGAAAAAAAAAAAGAAACTTACGCTTAACTTTGTGTGTTTTTATACCCTTGTTAAACGGGCATTTTAAAGGACTTTGGAACAAGCTCGTTTATGAAATCGGCGAACCAGCGCACGCCGTTGGGCACGTGCGCACTCAACATCACGAGCCGACTGTCTGATTTTATAACGTGTAACAAGGGTATAAAACGCTGTGTGGCAGGGGTACTAGTTAATCAACTACCAGTGCCTCCATTTCAATTACGTCCATTGTCGCCGTCTCTCGTTTAGTTTTCAGAACATGACGGACGATTCTGAATACGAGTTCTTCCAGTCGCCTCGTCAGGACCCTCCCGAGACTTCGTCGAACGGCAGCGTCCAAGACGACCACGAGCTCAGGGGGACGTCTTCGGGAGCAGCTGCCTCTTCCTTCGACGGAAATGGTTCGCTCTCGGCCAGACTGCTGTGTTACATGTCGGCCAGAACCTTCAACGAAACGGGTGGGTGCTGCTCCTTTTTTTTTTATTTACTATTAAATGTACTTCTTCATAGTTTTGTGAGTCATGCTGGGTCTCGTTTGATTGGCTAATGAGTGTACGCCATACCGATTATGTAGAAAAGGAGTAAAGGAAAGGGGGGAGGGAGGCGGTTGTTATAACTGAGGGTGAACGAGCTCTCCGTGAAAGGAACGGAGATTGGGCATAGCGGGCGGTTCACAGACTTGCGTTCAGTCCGACCTAGTGCGAAAGCTGCTATGGCAACGGCTGCGTCGGCTTCAACGCAGCTCGTGCCGCAGCAGCTGTTGCCATAGCAACCGTAGCGCTGGGTTGGACTTAACGCAAGTGTGTGAACCGCCCTTATCAAGAACGCATGAAAGAAAGGGAAGAGTAGAAAGGGTAGTTCGAAAGTACGGCAAGAAGTACCGTGAGGAAGAAGGGGCGAGGGGCTGGCTACCATCAACAGCCGACTGCCTGGCAACCTCCGCCGGGAGGGCTAGCAACATAATTTCACTGCTTGGCTGCCAAAACGAGACGCCTTACCTAAATAAAAAAGGTAAAATGAAGACAAAGAAACGTGGAAAAAATACGCGATAAACACATTAGAATAATAAAAAAAAAAGCTGCAGCAGAATGTAGCAGGTAATATGTCAGCTGTGACCACATAAATACCATTATGGCATAAAAAATTCGAAACTGAAAGAAAGACGGTGGACAGAATAGTATTTTTTTTATAAACCATACGAGTGATTTGTTCCGTCCGGCTAGTTGGATAGGCAATAAAAGCACAAGTAAGCTTTGTGTCGCCCTCTCACTATCGGTCCCCGCGTTATCGGAGCTTTCCTTTCCAAAAATAAAGACAAATAGAAAAAAAAATATCTGTGATAAGGTATTGCGCAATTCAAGAAGAAGAAAAAACACGCGCGCGTCACAGTTTCAATGGGCAATCAAAGTGCGCGAGCGCACATGGGCCACAACTTCTGCATAACCGCAGAAAGTTGTCCGCGGGTATGGTTAAACGTCAATCACATTCGCGCTATTAGCATTTTAAATTTCCCTCAGATCAGTTATCGCTAACGTAGAATCTCCAGCAACAAATACCGTTACCGCAAACCTGGAAGTGATATAAAGCGGCGAGGTTTGACGATAAGACTTTCTAAGCCGATAAGTAGCGAGCCCAGCGAAAATTGATTCGGCCCTCGGAAAATTCGCTGCGGCACACGTTCTGATGAAGACGGAGGACCGTACACCAAGTCGCCGATCGCTTTTCTGAGGTCCCCGGGTGAATTATCGATATTGGTGTTGGGCGTTATTGTGGCGACGGCAGATGAAGACGAAGTGCGGCGGCAGGGGCGGCTGTCGCTTTCACTTTATTTCTCTCTCTGTCGGCCAGTCCCGGCCGGTGAATACTCGTCGTCACGCTTGGATGTGTTGTTTTAGGCGGCAGAGTAGACCATCTATCCTTTTTTTTATTCTTTTAATCTTGATGGAGTGTACGTTGGAGGGGCAGGGCGAAAGGAAAAATTAGTTGAGTAAATGTTGATCTGCTTATACGAACGAAGTGAGGTCTATGCAACCTCGAGGCTTGTTGCCCCACCTGACGTGTGGAGGAATATAAAGAAACAGACGGTCAGAAGTGGGGGATTTTCTTTTTATCAGCTGCTTTGGTAATCAACTCAATAAGTGTTTTGCCAATTTTATTTATTTTGTGTGATCAAAGAAGCATGATGTGATCACTTTACTACCTATATTACCCCTTTCGTCACAATAAAAAGGCGAAGTAATTGTATATTTAGGATATTGTATTGGTGTAATATCTGAGAGATTAAAAAGAATAGAAAATGACTACTCAGTTTTAAAGCGTCTTCCTTAAGAACCGTAGTAAAAAAAGTCCGACTCCTCGAGGAGAATTACAAATTATGTCCTTTATGTGGAGAATTAAGATATATGTAGGTATATTTTAGACGAAATATACGTTCTCTTATCAAGACGTGCACGTTTCAAGCGACAAAAGCATCGCTTTTTTCTCCTACAACCAAATCTCGCAAGAACTACTTCGCGTCGCGTAGGAGCGTTGCGCCAAACGAGCTTTTTTCTTGAGGAAAAAGCGGGTATAGGTACTGAAACTGTGATCATACTTGGTTTCACCTTGTAAGACAAGACTCAGTCGAAGCTGATGGCACCGATCAGACAGCGTCAAAGGGTGTTCGTCATGTTTCTGTATACGTGTTCTGTATCATCGCTGAACCAATCATAAACAAAAAAGGCCCGGTGAGTTGCACTTTTGACTCGGTTGATTGGTCTCATTAGCTCGCAGCGTCGACTGCGTCTGGGCTCAAGCTGAAATGAAGTATAGAAGAGTTGCCTTTATTATAATGCATCCATTCGCAGCAAACCAGCAAAACTAATTGCGCGTGACCTGGTAAAGCTATTACAGAAGTACTGAGCACTTTTGAACCGAAGAAGTTCTGAGAACTTTTAAAGTAGTCTCATTTTTATGGAAACACGCCCACTGACCGGCGGGGTCTGGGACCGCGCGCGCACAAGATTATGCTCTAACGAAGCACAAAGCATCTGTCCACGTTTCTTTTGGACGACAAGAGCTACCGACTGTCCGAAACGTCGATCGTTTTAGGACACTACCAGTGGCCTACAACGGGACTTCCCGCCACTCCTGAATAGTTGAACGCTTTCCGAGTTTCCATATTCCGAAAGAGCTTGAACTCAAGTCAGAGCACATCGGGACCGACTCTGAGAACAAACTTTTGTCTCGCAAACCATCTGTGTTTTTTGTTGGTCTCCCACATTTTGCTTTTATTCATGTTTTTTTCTGTTTTTTTTTAAAGAAAGGTAAAACGAAAGCAAATTTTTACGAAGAACCTTTTTTTCTTCTTCCTTTTGACATCGCCACCTTTTTTTTTTTTTGTTTCTTTTTTCTAACATAGGACTAGCGACAAAAGTAAGAGGTTTGCATGATTAAATTTGTAAACCCTCATTTCTGCTTTGAGAAGAAATGAGGGTGAGGGAAAGAGGATATAGAGAAAGACAGCACCATATTTCGCCTCCTGACAATTTTTCTTGGCGACGGGGAAGAGAAAAACCGCGCTCTGCCCTTGTCAACGTTGACGAAGACGGATTGGACATGCCTCAGATACGAGTTGGTAATAAAAAAAAACCCTTATTAGAAAAATTATTTTTTAGACGCGATGGATAATGAGTTGTCACTTCGCACCATTCTTGATAAAATTGAGTAGCGCTTCGGTCTTCTGTAGAATAATTTGTTGGTTGAACTCTCGAAGATATAGGCTGTTTTTAATCTCAGTTTGAACTGAAAAAAGAAAAAAAAAAAAGGGGCACAAAGCAGTTCAGGTTAAAGTCTTACTCTCGCAGCCTGTTTAGTCTCAGAACGCGAACATCGTTGCACTTATAAAAAAAAAGAAAAAAAAAGTTTCAATTACTTTTCGCAGCGTTGTAAATCTTAGCGTAGTTTCCACAATTCTCCAACGCTGTTAAACATACTTGCATGAGCGCGTGCGATTAAGACGCAGGCCGAAACGGCGTGCTTTCGCGGTAGTGCGAGACTGGATCGCTGTGGAGGCTACACTAACCTTGACAACGTAACAAAAAAACCAGCTAGTACCTTTTACAACAATGTACTCACCACTTGGCCGATTGGCAGCGAACCGCTTTAATTGAATCGCGGCGGGGGTTTCACCTAAACGGGAGTGTCGCTTTCTTCTCTATATCAGCCCACGACTTATATTTCAAATGGAAAAAAAAGAAGTTTATTGAAGGTGTTGCGTGTTTGGATGTGCGTAGAGTGGATGCCATTACAAGGTTTGTTAATGGAACAAACCAGTATTGGTTCTGAAATAGTAAAGGGAAATGCTATCCTTCTACTTATCTCTTTGGGTTAAACGAGGTAAGTTTTGCTCAGCAATCCTGAGCTAACCATCGAATAAAATGAGTAAGGAAGAGTAAACATTAATGAAAGCGATATGTGCCTGCTCTGGTGTTCCACGGAACCATTCACAATCGTCGACACCATCGCGTAATGTCTTTTTTTTTTGTTTTGTTGATGTTTTTGCTGTTGCGAACTCTAACTATCCGGGGGCTGAGCAGAGAATCCTTCTTGGAACTTTAGCAATCACGTCTGATTATTATTTACCGGAAGGTTTAGCGTAGCGTACTTCTGTGTCTGCCACCTAGGGAAGATTTACGACACGGAGTGACCATTAATTGTTACCGATTGACCCTTGCCGACACTAACCCCAGTGGGACTCAACTCTCTCCCTCTCTCTTTCTCTTACACTCTCTGCCTGTTCTCATCTCAATTTAGTCGTTTGGGCGACGTCATCACAGCGGTGATGCCTCGAGCGCCTTTCTACTTTATGCTGACAACTGCGGCAACCGTACTGTATAAGTTCCAAACCTTCAGTGCGCGTTGCCGATTTCTAGTTTTTAATTTAACGCGATAAAGTAATTCAGTAAACTGCAATTTGTTTTTCATTTGGTACACATAACCTAAAGCCAACATACGTCGGCTTGACGAGGTTTAGCACCCATCTTCTGGCAGACGGCCAACAAACAAAAAGTTAAAAAAAAATAATAATTAAAAAAAAAAAAACAAAAAAAAAACAAAGCGCCTTAGAACACAGAAATACACACATGGGTAGGTGGGAACAGTAGTCCTGGGCGCTTATTTGAATTTATTTCTTTTTCCAGTGCTTTCTACACCCAAATACCACAGCGCACAGTAGCAAAGTGTGTAGTTGGGCGAGTCGGCACATGATGAGAATAAATAGAACAGCACACAAAAGACACAGGCAAGTGGAAGACACGAACAACGCTGCGTTTGTTTCTGCCTTTCACTTTTCCTTGTGACTTCTTTTGCCGTTTTCTATTCTCGCTTACGGCAATTTGTGTTCGTGAGATTATGGCCACTATAAAGCGCACTAAAAACAAAAACAAAGCGCATTACTCAGGTTTTAAACAGTGATGATTTTTCTGATTTGCTTTGAGTATACTTATTACTTTCTTGCGCGATTTCTTTTTACCAGTATTGTGCGAATTCATGCCCTAGCAAAAGGTGACTGGGAGATGCCAATTTAATCTAAGGATACCCAACTTATCATGGCAAATTATATGCTGGAGTTTCTGGACACCTCTAACCTTCTCTAGGAAAAGAGTCACAGTAGCAGCTTTTCTTTGTATGTGGATAATTTTGTTGAAGCTTCTAGACGCTTTCAGTTCTAAATTCCGAAGGTGCACATTAAAATGGCCAATATAAGTTGCCCTTCCGAGAGTAGGCTAAGTAGCAAAAGTGTCGTTAGGAGTTGTAATACTGAAAATAGACGCAATCCTACACCCTTCATGGCTTTAAGAATCGGGCCATGATTTCACAGCGCTCATCAAGCCTCCTACAGGTATACCCCATCTCAACGGCTAATTTGTTATGTCAATGTTTAAGAGACAGGATAGCTGGGCCTAGTGTATATGGATTCATCAACCTACCAATGGCACCTTAGAATGGCGTATTCGCAGTTCATTAATGTTGAGTCTCGTGGGTTGTGTGATAAAACTCCCAACGCTCTTGATGCCAAATGCTTTTCTTTCCATGCAGGCGCCCGGGAGTCGTCCTCATCTCTTCGGTGCAGGCTGACGTGGGACGGCCTGTCGTGCTGGCCCTCGACGCCGGCGTCCTCCGTAGCGGTTCTGCCCTGCTTCGCATCCTTCAACGACCTGCTCTACGACACCTCCCGTGAGTTGCGCGGGAATCAGGTTGCAGACACAAGGGTAGTGTCGCGTTCAGTCGGCGCTCCTTTACGCATCCTCCGACGCCCCGAGTTTCACACTCCGAGCGCAGCAGCTAAACGGCGCATAGCGTACAGGAGCGCGACACACCGAGGCTGCGTTCCAAACCTAATCGAATGAATCCAAGTTACCCAGGCTGATGATGTCACGTGACAACAAAAATAGAGAAACGCTGGACGCGGGTAGGTTTTCGATAACCACCTTTACCCTAGAGTTATATCGAGTAAGTTTTGGAACACGGCCAGAAACTATCGACGGGCCACACGAGCTCCTTCCGACCCTGAATACGGGTGGCAGAAGCCGAAAATATTTCGAAGATATATAATCAGGCCCGTGTGGAGCGGCAGAGTCAAAAAAGCAAAGGAGACGGCGACGTTATGAAGTTTCTACGAACATTTTAATATTCCAGAAAGGTTTCAAGACTCGTTTCGTGCACATGCGTGGAAGTTGGAAGGTCGCCTTGGCCGATCTATTTATTGACCATGCATGCTGTTCCGATTTAAATTAAAGACAACATTCTAGAACCCGCTCGTCGACGCAGGAAAACTCAAATTTGTCAGAGATTCCCTGATTCCGTCGGTTCTGGCTCGCAGCGAGGCGGAAGCTACGCCAATACCGGCACACCGTCGTTCGATTCACGTCAATTCGTTGTTAGGCGGTATGCATGAACAAACCTCTCTCGCAACGCTAACTGGTGTTTCGGCTTTCCAATAAGTATCTTTATTCGCTGCGGCTGGGCTAAGCATTCTAAGCAGGGCAGCGGTCTGACTGTCTTTTGACCACAACTGTTCTGTCGCCGAGCTATCGGCACCTCGTTCGATAGATCAATTCGTTTTCAGGCAAGGCGCACGAACAAACCTTTTCCTCAAAACTCACTGATGTTTCGGCTTTCACATCGAGGTATCTTTATTCGCTGGGCTAAGCATTATAAAAGGGACAGAGCGGTCCGAATGTCTCCTAATCTCGACAACTTTTCTGTCGCTGTGCTATCGGCACGCTGCTGTTTGACAGATGCATTTTTTTTTTTTCAGGCGAGATGCACGAACAAACCTTTTTCGGATCGCTAATTGCTGTCTTGGCTTTGAAATCAAATCGTTTTTACCTGCTGGATTAAGCACTAATCAACTGAAAAGGGGCAGCGGTCCGGCTACGCCTTTTCGTCTCGACGGTCTCAACCACTGATCTCTCAACAGCAGCGCAGCCATTTTGTTTGTTTACGTGACGTCTCGGAGCGCGAAGAAATCACTCGCGCTCCGAAAAATTCTCGGTGCACGAAGAGCGCGCTCGAGTGTCAGTCTCTGGTGGCACTCCTGTCCGTTTAGTGAAAGGAGCGCCAAACTCTCGCGCTCCTGAGCACGGACAATTAACGCGCCCATTGAGATGAGGTCATAACTCAGATAGATGAATGGATAGTAGTGGCCCTTAGGGTATGGGTCGGCATCTTGCGCCACCTAGCGTCTAATTTGCCATCTTTTTTACTTTTTATCAATTTGAGTTTTTTTTCCTGTTTCTTTTTGCTTGTTTTGGTGCACTTTGTAGAAATTGCATTTTAAAATAGTTTATCTTCAAATCAAGTACCTGCATTGGTCGATTTAAAAATGCGAAAGCATGCCGCCTGCGACGTATTCCTTCTGCCTCGCGTTCCTTCTGCCTCGTTCTATTGCCGCCAGAGACGCTTTGAATCGCGATCCGCTTGCGCCTCACGCGTTCGAAAGGCTTTGTTCCGTCTCCTAGCGCGTTGCGCCGCTGCTCGTTCCGCCCGCCGTGTATTCAGAGACTTGACAACGAGGGTGGGATTTCGCTGCCTGCCTCCTCGCTCGTTGTGCTACGTTATTTCGCTTTCTTAGTTCGCCTGTGGTGCACTTGCGTGGACGGGCAGGTTTCGCTACTGCCGAGGTTGCGGCCACCGGAGGCGTCGCCATGTTCGTCGGCGTCGAGAGGAGCTCAAGCGGCCGATCGCGCGCCACCGTGTTCGTTTTGCCGGCGCAGGGCCCGCAGCGCCATGGGGTGGCGTTCCTTGAAACTAGGACGCGCGCCAGCCAATGGGAGCTTCGTTCTTCGAAACATGGACACGCGCCAGCCAATGGGAGTCTATCTATCAAATCGCTGCCACAGACTACACGCTTCGCTTCATGGGGACAGGGTAATTTAGCTGCCGTTTGGCGCGCGGCTTCAAAAGCTGATAACGCCGGTTCGCTCCATGCGACAGCTAATGCTTTCGCATTAAAAGGAAAACGGACCCCCGCTTTCTTCCCCCGGTAGGGTGACCACCCGTCCCGCGACTCGCGGGACTGTCCCGCATTTTGGGCTCGTGTCCCGCGTCCCGCAAGAAATTCCAAAATCTTCAAAATGTCCCGAATTTCACATTGTCGTAACAATCACTGCGCAAATTATGGCGCTTACGGACAACGGGCGACGAGGAACCGCGGAGGTCGCTGATAAACGTGTGAATCTCGATGGTATGTCATTTTCTTGCCAAGCACTGCGGGAAGCAACCGTCGTTTTTGCAGGAGACTGACGCGCATGCGCCGTTGTGCCTCTACACTTGATGACAAAATATTGCAAGCGAAAATTGCTCGCCAAAAGCTGAAAAATAAACTATTGTAATTAGTTGCAAGTCATACTGTATCATACGAAAGAGTTGTTGTGTAAAACTTTTTTTTTTTTTTAGTGAAGACGGCCACACAAGGCAAAAAAAACTCGCAACTTACAACGGTCTAAAAAACAACATAAGGTTTTATTTTTGTGTATGAGCATGTTAATATAAGAGTAAGTATCGACAGGAAACAATACGCCGAAAATATTTACTGTTTTTAATTCCTTTTGATGCATTGGGGTCTGGTGCAGTCGATCTTTATGTTTTTAACTTACATATCTTGAAAAAAATATGTACTAATAGAAATAAACAAAAGTATATCACTGAGCGAAGCCTATATCAGTGTAATTGCCTCGTACAATTTTTAGATGTATAATACGCTTTCGGACAGCCCAAGATTTTGGGGTGTGCGCGTTGACGAATTTCCCTTAATACTGATTTCTTGAGTCATAAAAATACCGTCCTCCTCCCCCCCCCCCCCCCCCCCCCCCCCCCCCCGGTCAAGGTGTCCCGCACTCCACCGGCTGGAAGGTGGTCACCCTATCCCCCGGCGAGGGAGTCACTGATCTTCCTCTGGTCAACCTTGTTGGCCTTCTTTCCAAACCAAGACCCTGTGAGAGACAGCATTGATACTTTAGGCCGGAGTCAGCCAGGAAGGAGTCCAAATTTTCCTCTGTCCTCCCTGTCTTCAGTTGTGCTCGTTGCTTTTACCAATTTCAGTTTTCCCTAGTCTCCTTCCGCCAATGCTATAACCTCCTTTTCGTTACCTCAACCTCTTTATAACCCCCTTCCATCTTCTCCACCGAAACCCAGGGACCCATCTACATCTGCTCTCCCCTCAGGGAGGGCAGGTTTAAGCCTCTTGCACATCATAACCACGTGTTTTATAGTTTCGCTCTCCATTTCACATATGTGGCAAGCTGGCTCTCTATCTTCGAATTTTGCCCTATAAGTGTTCGTTCTTAGTACCCCAGTTCTGGCCTCAAACAGTAAAGAACTCGATCCCCCGGGAATTATCAAAGTTTCTTTCCTTATTTTCTGTTTTTGTAACTCGTACATAGTTAAAGCTGACCTCTCCCGCCTACTTCCTTCCCCTCTCTCCTCATGCTTAACTCTGTTCTATACTGACTTCGTTTCACTTCCCGCGTGTAAAAATTAGTTTCCGAGCTTTCGAGTCCGTCTCGTCCAATTTGTGTTTAAGCTTTTTATGTATAGGAACTTATATACCTTAACTGTTCACCTCATCTGCTCGATATCAGTTAGCCTTTGGTCAAATTTTACTTGTTGCCTCTCTGCTCTCAAGGGATGCCCAACCCATATCCCCTTGTACCCCTTAATTTGGACTGTTACCATGAGCCCCTGAAGCTAACCTCCTACACTCCTTTGCCTACCTCTAAGTTTGAACGTACTTCAGATTTGGTGGAGTGAACCCAAGGTGGCCAACTGCGCTTTGGATTTCTTCCCCAAAACTTCGGTATTATGTTCTGGAATAGGTAACTTGTACTAGTGAGCGTACTTGTCTTATAGTGGCGCTGCCGTCAGAGGCCGATGCCTTCACGACATTCCATTGAAGCTTCATAACCAACGAGCAAGTGGTTTTGACTTATCGTTTATTTGAGTTTAAAATTAGATTTTTTGCGTTTCCAGACGAAATATTGATGTTTCTGTGGTTTTACTGCTACCTACGTCATAATGAAGCAAAAAAAAAAAAATATATATGAGCTCCAGAATTTGTTATTTGTATCCCTTAAAGGGGGATGGTAAGTAAAATTTACAGAAGAAGCTATCCTCTATTTTACTGCTTAAATATACTACGGTCTCTGGAGAAACTGGCCTCTAAGGCGCGCTGGGATGAGCGCTAAAAGTTTTCGAGTTTACCACGGCGTAGATCCGTACACTCAAAGCGATACTGAACCGAAATTTCAAGCTCAGAAAACAAAGCTGGTCTGATAGGCGGGACGCTGCAAAACCAAGAAATATCATTCATACAGCGATATCTCCAACGGATCGCCGAATTTTCGGAAGAGAAGTGCACGATTGAACAGAGCCGACAAGGCCGACAAGACAAGACACGTCACGATTCTCATTCTCTCTCCTCCTCGCTTCGTTCCGCCAAGCTGGTGAACCGAAGCGAGGAGGAGAGAAGCGAGGCCGTTTCCCCTCTTCCTCAACTGTTCCAGGAGGATCGTGACGTCAAAGCCCTCGCTTGATCGAGCCCTTCTTTTCCTTAGGTACTGCCATTCGATCGTCTGACATATCGATGTATCAGTGATGTTTTGGTGTTCGTAGCGTCCCGTTCAAGGCTTCTGCGGCCTTAGTTAGCGAAATCGGGATTTCGGGTCAGTATAGCT